AAAAAAAAAAAAAAAAAAAAAAAAACTTAGCAATACTTCACTAATTTGTGAAGTAACAAATAAAAAAATGTAGAATTCTCTCGATGGAGAGCTTCGGATTCTCTCGATTGGGAGCGAAATCTTTGACAGAGTGCTAGAATTTTTGTGTTGATTGTTGTCTGCTTGCTAGCTCAACCCTCTTTCTTCCTATTGGCGTTCCCCCCTTTCCGTTGGATCTCCTAAACCTAGGGTGAGCTGTTCAGCGAGCTCTACTTCGTATAATGGCAAGAACATCAAGTCCCAAACACGACGACGAGTTGTCTAGTCGCATGGAAAACTTCTCGCTCTCGGATAGAGAGGCACTGCTTGTTGATATAGCTCCAGAAGATATTCGATATAGTGCGGAAGAGTGCAGTCGCAGCCTTTTTGGTAAGATTGCTGGAGATCGGCCAGCCAGCTGGATAGGAGCTAAGCGATCCATGAGCCAAATATGGAGATTATCCCAGCCTATGGAGGTAAAAGAACTCGAGCCCAATTATTTTCAGTTTATATTCCAAAGCAAAGAAGATCTTCAGAAAGTGCTAGGAGGTACTAACTGGACCTTTGAGAATCAATATCTGATTTTATCGGAATGGTTAGAAGGATTGAACAGCAAGCATACTTGTTTCCAGAAACTTAAAATTTGGGCACAAGTGTGTAATGTTCCTCTGAATTGGCTTTGCACTGAAGTGGGCATTAAGATAGGCAGAGTATTCAATGAAGTGGACAATGTGGTGATAGCTAATTATGGGAGTCATGGAGGCAAATTCCTTAGACAATGTGGTGATAGCTAATTATGGGAGTCATGGAGGCAAATTCCTTAGACTACTGGTGACCTTGGATCTGACAGAGTCTATTCCCAGATGCACCAAAGTCAGACTTGGAGATCAGATTATTTCCATAAGCTTCAGATATATAAGGCTCAGGAACTTATGCCATTATTGCGGACATATTGGCCATCTGGAGAAGGGGTGCCTTGCAAAGGTTCAAGACATCAAATCCAGTAGTGTTAGAGAAGGTCAGTATGGGGATTGGCTTAGAGCCCCTGAAGTTCAGTTTGGTGTTTTCAACAATATTAACACATCTGGATCAAGGAGTCCTCCACTCAGCCCGCAAAGACCCAATTCCAGCCCAAGTCATTCTCCCATGCATAGCTACCATCAAAACACACCCAACCAGACACCCCACAAGAACCAAATCATTCTCCATCAAGAGACCCCAAATCCCACTCTCCCCTCTTCAGTCAATGGCTCTACTTCTAATTCCCCTATTAATATGGTGATATGTATATGCATAAGTGTAGAATATGTTTATTTAATATTAAGCAAAATAAATGAATGTTTTTATTTACTTGTGCGACTTATATGTGTTATATTATAATAAATTTTCTACCTTATAACATATAACTACATTAAACATAAATATATTAATTGATAAATAATTTTATTTTTTAATTAATTTTAATAAATAATTTTATTATTATAAAGATAAATATAATTTATTTATTTTATATATACAATATGGATGTCAAATCGAAGCTCATCAAAACATGATTAATTTGATATATTTTATATATAAAATCGATAAGAAGTATAAAAGTTATTAACTTTTAAAATATATTTGCAAGGTTATAATAGAAAATGATATTAAATTAAAATACAAAAAAAACTTAGCAATACTTCACTAATTTGTGAAGTAACAAATAAAATATCAAACATTACAATTTACCAAACGAAATGCATATTACTTTAATGCATACAGAAATGTGTGAATTTAAACTTTATGAATTTTATTTGGTATAGATAGAAGAGTATTTGGAAATTTTGTAAAAAAAAAAATAAGTGTGTATGAATTTTATTTGGTATGGGTATGAAAGTCGATTTTTAAGTTGATTTGTTATAAAATCAAGTTGATATGATTATCGACGAACTGAGGCAGAAGACTCCTCTCTTGACGGCACTGAAACTCGGCGAAACCACCAAGAAGCTCTCCTCCTCTCTCCCCGCAGCGACGGTCATCAACTCAAAACCAAAGAGAAAGCCGCTCCGGCTAGAGCCGGCCACCGACGCGACTCACAGCACCTGCCAGAAGAAGGCACACCTACTAATTGACGGAAATCTGGCCGCTGCGTGAGCCGATTTGATGTTGGCTGAAAAGGGGATCTGAGGAAGCGTCGATTGCTCTTTAATATATATATATATATAAAGAAATTTATTGTGTAGTTTAAATTTGAGTTTTAATTTTAAAAGTCAAAATATGCATAAATTACGAGTCTATATTAACTTGGACATAAATGGAAGTCAATAATTTTAGTTTAATAAACTACTCAACTACTTATATTTTTTTGATTTGGATAGTTATACAAAAATAAATTTATTTTAATTAATGAGACAATATAAGTTTTATAATTATACTTATTATTCACATAGATTTTAAAATATATTATAAAATTTACCAACACATTTATTTTATGGAATCAAATTGTAGTCAAATCGAATTTTAGAATAAAAATTTTCAAATGACACTTCTTTTGAAATGAATATAATATCATTTAGTATCAATTACGTGCACTGTACAGGTTGTGCACTAATTTTAAATCGATATGTTTTATGTAATCTTTAAAAAATTAAATTTCATAAAACATTTTCAATAAATTAATATAGGTAAATTTTATTACATATTGATTTCTTATTTTTAATTTGTAAATATTATTAAATGAGTATTTTTAATTTATAAATATTAACGAATATCTTTTACCTGTAGATAAATTGTATTAAATATTGACTCAATATTTTTATTTCTAATATTATTTTGTGAGTATTTTTAATTTATAAATATGAATAAATATCTCACACCCGTGCGATGCACGCACGGATTCGTACTAGTATTATTAAAACAGATTGCATGAAGATATGAAAGAAACTTTTGTCTCGTAAATATGGTACTTATGGTAATTAACAGTATCCTTTTGGTATATGACAAAGTACAAGAAGTATGAATTCTTAAAAATTAAGAAATACACTACACAGCCGGCCGAGTTTCAATCATCACAACCAAGTAAACCAACAAAATAGTTCTAACACCGCATTACTTACATATTACAAACACAATCAAACGATCACGAGGGGCGCATTGCTCTCCTTATTACACGGTCTTTCCTTCATCATAAGATATTTCACAGGCGGAAAAAAGCTTTTTCTCAAGATGACGATGTGGGAGAAGGTGATTTAGTAAAAGGAACTTGTTCGGCACAAGAGAGTTCTTCATGAGGTCCCGCCAACTCCCGACCGACACCCATCAAGTCCAAATAATAGAGATAGTGTGATATTATATTGTTCATGGGATCAATATCACCTTGACCACAAACAATATCACCGTACATTATGTTCATAGTTGTTCCGAATCCCGGCACACGTTTGGCCAATGTGTCGTTTTTGGTGGGTTTCCAGTTACCGACAAAAGCATCGTGGGCAGAAGTCAACTTCTTGTCTTGAGGTGTCATCCAAGACCAAATTGCAGCCTGGAATGCGAGAGTTGCGTTTTGTTCGATGTATTCGGGATGGTTCAGCAAATCAGACTTAATGGCATGGCCGATTTTACCGTAGTTATAGTTCCTGAAAAATATTCACCCAAAACATATTCGGAGTTTCGTATGCTTTTAGGAATTCATGTATAGTTTTAAGAAGAAAGAGAAAGGAAACAGATAATTGTTGTTAGCAAATATAATGTTGTGTAAGCAAATAAACTTGTCAAGATTCACCAGGTTCAAGACATGATGACTTTTATAAGGCAATCACTTGAAAGCCGATCTGAAGAACAACTTTGTACATGCTTTGCATAGTTCTCTATAGTTTAATTACAATAAAGAACTCGTTTTTCTTTTGAACACATGTATCTCCTCAACACTCTTTTGTAAGACAAAACCAGACGTTAAGGCGTTTGATTTGTTTGTTATTTCGAAAGGTAACTGGACTTTCATCTTCTTCTTTTTCCTTTTTTTTTTTTTTTTTCTGTAAATTAGATTGAATTTGAACCTAGAGGTAGTTATTTTGAATCTCCCTTTCCCATTAACAGGTAAATGAAGGGAGGTGGAGGAGTGAAGAATGTATTTGAAGGGAGAGGGGAAAATGAACATTCGGGTCATGCAGAAAATAGTGTTTTTACTGACAAAACAACTGCATTTTCAACAACTTCTAAAACAATATTTGCCATGATTTCAAATGATTGGTTGATAGATCAAAATAGACAAGGAAAACATGATGATTTTGGAACTTCACCAAAAAACCATATTAAAAAATCGACTTCTAAAACATGTAAAAAAATGAAAAAGTTGGGAGTTGAGACATATAAAGAGGAGACTAAGACTAAGAGAGGAAAGAAAACGAGTACCAGTAGATTGGTATTGCGCCACGCCCATAATAATCAACTCCAGGAGCACATGGATACTCAACTTTGTAGAAATCATCACAGTAGCTTTGGCTGGGACTCATTTCCTTATTGTAACATAGACCCCATGCCAATGGCCCACCTGTGGCCACCCCATAACCACCTGCATATTTTGAAGCAACACTTAATTATCGGAAGTTCAACTTTCATTGCAAATCCCAAATTTCCATCTATAGCCAAACTCTTGTGAAAAAAATTCCATTGCGGAAACTGACATGCAATTTTAAAACTTTTTTCAAATAAATGCTGTACAGCTTTTCGGCAACAACTAGAAGTCTGTTCAAATAACTTACCGTATAACAAGAAAACTTGTATCACAATTTAAATAAACCTGTAACCACTTCCGTGGATTTCTTTTTAAGAGAGAGAGAGAGAGAGAGAGAGAGAGAGAGAGAGAGAGAAATCTTTTCTTTCAGTGAGATAATGAATCTAACTGTTCTTATGAGTTTTTATTTAAGAGTTCTCAACAACTGAATTTTGAACTTCAGGAAGTGAAACACCACTATATTCATCTCACTTCAGTCAATGTTCAAACACCACCATACGCTTGGCACAAAGTTTCGACTCAACATTCTGGTTAAGAAACTATCCACTATAAATGGCAATGGCACCAAAGGTAATTAATCAACTCATGGAAAGAAATTTAGGCAACCAATGCATGTCACAAACGAACAATGATGGAGATATTGCATGATCACGCAACAACTTACAAGTTACTCTGATTTCATCAAGCTCACTCCGTTGTTATCAATTAGATAAATACAAGTTCATTGCACCTTAATGATTGGCACAAAGTAACAGAAACAAGCAACAGTACAATCACAGTTCGCCAGTACCCGATAAACAAAAGATATGCGACTGCCAAAAATTGTAAGAGAATCAGATGACACAAATATTTACTCTTTCAAATTATAACGAGTCTGATCCAAGTCATCTGGATGCATGGGCAAAGGGTAAACGATAATAAAGTGCTTCTGCACCATAAATTTACTATTTTATTAGAATATCGTTTCAGTTTTTTCCCTAAATTGCAGTTGCTTCAGCAGCTTTTAGATACAAAAATTATGTCTTTTATGTTCAACAAGGGATATCATTCCAAAATGTGATTCCATACATAAATTCAACAAAATAAACATTATTTAATCTCATTTGTCCTCACTAAGCAGATCTACATTCCTCAAGTAAAAACAAATCATTATTACATTCTTCAGAAATTTCTAGATTCACCTACTCCCACATAACTAACTACTCACCCACCAAAGCCAATCATCATTTACTAAGAAAAAATCAGATCAACTTCAGCACACACATTTTTCATCATATATTCATTTATATCCCTATTTCAAACATGAAAAATTCTTAATCGCAACTCACCGGGAAAAAAAAAAAAATATCCCTTAAGCAAATGAATCTAAGCGCATCCAAAATTATTCTTCTCTCGTGCCAAAAATGGCCATCGGATTACCTCACGGATCTGATTTGGATTTGAAAATTCCCACGAATCCTCCAATCAAATAAATGTACATTTTCCCCTAATTTGTGCTGATTCAGTTACTGTAAGGATTTCTCCGCAGAACACTTCCATTCCGCAATTGAAAAATTCTCCAAAACAGTTAGAAACTTTTTCTCGCTAGCTAACTATTTGGGAGCGGACATTGACTACAACTCACTCGATAAACTGA